GACTCGACAGACAGCTTATCCGACGAGAACAAATACCTTCACCGTGTTTTTACGAAGAACAACTACAACAACGACTTCATCCGACGAAACACTCACCGACCCACTACCACTACCGAAACAAACGACACCGCAACCCCTACGACTACAGCAACCATACCGTACATAAAAGGCATGTCTGAAAACATCTCGCGCATCTTACTACCCTTCAATATCCGCGTCGCCCACAAACCCATCACCACACTACGTCAGTTACTAACCAACGTTAAAGACAAAGACGAACCGAGGAACAGACAGGGAACGATTTATAAGATCAATTGTTCCGACTGCCAAGCCTCCTACATCGGTGAGACTGGCAGAAACCTCACAACAAGACTGACTGAACACAGACGGGCGACGAGGAAAGGTGATGTCAGCAATCACATTGCTGAACACCATCGACTTACCAACCACAACATTGACTGGGACTCTGCGCAATGCCTAACCTACAGCACTGACTATTTTCAACGACTGACTCTGGAAAGCTGGTTTACTAACTTAGAACAGACTCCCCTAAACAGATGTCAACAACTACCCGCTCCATACAAACGACTCATTCACGACATAAACATCACAAACGACCGAAAAAGAACGACCTAACTTTACCGACAGATCGAAACAGACCAATCACGACCGACTTACGTCACTTGAGTCTTACAGCCAATAACATCACGGCAAAACCAACCGATCATTTCACACGAACTGGAATAAGAACATTCTACTGACAACAATCATTCACTTGACTCTGATGATGACTTCCGCACAGGTTGTCGAAACGTCAGTCACTACCACCGACAACAGTCCTTCTCAGGACTACACTCAACCGGACGATCAGACTACACCTTCACATGTTACCCCCGGGTTCAAACCATTTACTGCAAACCTAACACGATTCCTCTGACATGATTTGCACGTGACGGTATGTTAGAGCCGGACGACGTGACGGTATGTTAGAACGTTCAGTGATACGAATCGCGATGCACGGAATCAGGGAACAGACACAAACAAAGGATTATGGTGCGCTTCGGATAGGAAGCAGACCATCAAAATAAACAACAGACAAAGTAATTTCCTTAAAACGGCAGGATATCTTAGAAACATGAAATTATTTTTTAAAAAAAGCGTTCTTTGTGTCACTCTTTGGGTTGAGGTTTCCAAATCATTGCAACGTTCTCAATAATTATATAATTTCATGTTCCACATTCATAATCAACTCTCTCTCATTATCAACAACTTCACTTTAAGACGATGACACTTAAATCGAGTTCAATATTGCCTCCTGCCTTTTTAATCGTTTTACGATGTGTAGAATTGTAATTGTAATCCGAGATTTAGGAAAGAAAATTTCTTGGTAAACAATCGAAGACGCAGCCAGTTGTTTGAAAACTAGATATTTATTTGACTACATTTCCTTATTATTTTGCCAATACAACCGGAAAACATTAGATATTAAATACATTTGCATATCGGTTCAGATTAAGGGCCTCATTATTATTAGTGTCACGTTTGCTTGTGTCTCTAAGCCGATGGCCTCTCAAGAACAAAAACCTTTTTTTCTTCAGTTTTTTTCTTTTTTTTTTTTTCCTTTAAGCTAGAAAGTCAGTTAAGGACGATCCCAGTGGTGTCCGCTGTCTTAGGCAGTCGAGAGCAGCCGTTTCATTCATTCTTGCAAAACCCTTGTACA